CCAAATCACAAGTACAGAACTGTACGTTTTAATCTTGTAATCGTTATTCTTTGCATTTGAGTTCTTACCATTTATTTTGTTCAATTCCTTCTTTCCTTCTGTAGGAAAAAGTTCCAATGGAAACTTTGTTTTCATTAACTGCAATTCTACAAAAGTTTCATGAGGTACTTCATTTGTTGAACACTTGATTTCAGATTTCCAACTGATTTTGAACAAAATGTCACCAAAACTATGATGACCATTTATAACAAAGTTCAATACCATCCTTGGACATAAAGATTTCTAAAATATGACTAAGGACAGGCAACAAAGAGAGAAGGCACATACTTCTTTGAAATATGTGGTGCTGAAGTATAGTTGTTGTTTTTTTTCCAAGATATATCATTTTTATTTAAAAATTTATATAAATTTATACAGTTAATATATCAACCTTTTAAAAATAAATCAATACATTTCATAAAGGAAGGGGAAATTACAGAAAGTCATACAGACACAAATTAGTGATGCCAGTTATTGACATTTCTGATACCTGTTTTCAAATTTCTAAATTGCCCTTGATCATGGGTATCCAGAGCATAGCAAAGGTTTGAGCGGAGAATAGAAGGAGCAGGAGAGGAAACTGCAAATGAGGGAACTTCTGGCCACATTCACACCACCATCATAATCCAGAGACACCCCACATGGCCTAGAGTCTTTCTGACATATTGAGGTGATAGTGGGGAGGCAGTAAAGAAACTGCACTGACTGTTCTCTCTGACACAAAGAAGTAGAAAAATTCCCTCTGAGTCGAGGACCATGTCACTGTCTCTTGTCCGAGAGTCATTACAAAGTCCAATGGCCCAGCTGCAACAGCCCGCCACGTCCACCTCCCAGCAGTGCTGACCGGAAGTGAACGACTCAGCTCCCCAGACAAGAAAATATTTAGATCTTGGTGGAGTGTAGTCGACCCCAGGACCATCAGGACCAGCCTGAACACGTCTCAGATCTTCAAACGCAGGGACATGATGAATGACTCTCTCATTATCTAGCGCAGTGTACACGTGGAATTGGTTGAGCCAGCCTAGGAGTCCAGGGATGGGCCACACACTGAGCTGGGGGACTGACTCACCCCTTTTGGACATGTTTGCATAATGCTAGATCAGCTCCATGTCTGGTTTATGGCACAAATCCTTGAGCTCCTCATATATCTGCCTCAAAAGTTTCTGCTTCAGGTCCATATTGTATTGACTTTCTTTGAGCTGTTGAAAAATCTCTTTGCTTTCCTCTTGTCTTCTCTAAATGATGCTTCTCTTCCTGGTAGACTAAGTGAAACACCTTCCAATATTCAGCCTGTTTCATCTTCTTCCACATACTCATGTAGCTATCCCATGTTCTGATTTTGTTGGTTTCTCTGTTCAGATTTCTTTTATTTTCTTGTGTCTTTTCCCACACAGACCTCATTATGTTCAGAAGCTTTTGCCGGTATTCCTCAGCCGTCCCCTGAAGGGAAGCAGGCCTGGGAGCGCCTGCTGCTCAGACATACAGCAGAGTAAACAACGCACATCCTTGGTGACTTTACAGAAGAAGTTCTTGGTTTATCTGTGTATCTCACGTATCTCTTCTGCAGGATTTGGTAAGTCACAGGGTCCTTTCTGTTTGGCAAGAAGTACCAGTTTCCTCAAATTGGCGTTGGTTTTCAGGTTCAGTTGATAGGGTGTTTCCCTGCACACGGGGCAGTGAGGAGGCCGTTGGCCTTCCTCCCAGTAGAGACAGAGACACGGCATGCAGAAGCTGTGCCCACGGCCCAGCATGACTGGGTCTATGAAACACTCCACACACACAGGGAACAGGTGACTTCATTCCAGAGGCTTTTGGAACTCATGTTTCTTTAGGTACCGTTAATGCAATGTTCTACTCTTGTTCAGTAAGTAACTGTTAATTTCAGTTCAAGGATTAAGTGCTTATTGCCTTGTGGCAGTAACTTTCAAAAGTCTCCATAGCCCAGCCAGCTCCAGACACAACAGCCCAGGGCTCTGGAGAAGAATGAGCTTGGCTCTTTGCTGAATGCTTTATATGTTCTCCAATGACCATGCCCATTTCCTCCCAGTGACAGGGTTATCAAATCTTTTGAAGACAATGGGCTGCTTTTCTGGGCGCCTGATGTCCTCTGCTAGCTATCAGAAGTTGTTTTGTGCAGTTTGCTCAGCGTTCAAATGTTCTTTTGTTAAATTTGTAGGAGAGAAAGTGGTCTCCCCGTCCTATTCCTCCACCATCTTAGCTCCTCCCCCTGAGGTATAGTTTTATACTCAATATCAGCTACATCCTCCAAATCTTATAGTCCTGAGGTCTGACTATAAAGATATTAGTTAGTTTTGGTAACAATAGCTTTTATTTCAATTAGTAGAATGTTGATGCTTGTTTTGATGCAAATATGAACTGTGAGTATGCCTCAATTAGCTCCAACTACTCTATAGCTTCTCAACATAGTTAAGATGGTCACTTTTATCACAACACTGTGCTGTGTTTTGCTTAAATTTGTACTTGTATTATTATTGTGAGCTAACAATTTTCTTTCATGTTCAACTTTTAAACTGAATTTCCAGTCTCACTCAAAATGGCTTTACCTTTGATAGAATATACTTCTAAAAGTTTTACCTTGATTTCATGAATGGACTGACAAAGAAAACATTTTTAGAATTAACAAAAATGATTTAATCACTTGAAGTACCTGACAACACTCAACTGAAACTGGAATTATTTAGCTATTTGCAAAATTCTTCCATCATTGGAGTCAACAAACTTAAAGCTACTGCTTTTGGTCAAAAATGAATGAAATTAATTGAGAGCAATAGTAGTTTATCTCAACAAAAGTTAGGCATTACAGAGTTGCAAGTATATATACTTTCTTCAGCCATATGTGTTAAACCATCATGTTTAGGAAGTCTCCCTAAAGTAACTATTAATTTTAGCAGTAACTACTACTAATCTTGACAGTTTTTCAGTAGATTTGATTCTTCTCCTTTTCATGTGGTCTATAAGCCAACTATGGCTTCCACAGTGAACAGTATATGTCAAGGAACATGTTATACAAGTTATACATTCCTTATTAAATTAACTTTTCCAAAAAATGAAAATCTAGTACCTTTTTGAACATAAAATACATACTTTTATGTTTTTGAGCTGCTGCCAATTTATTGTAAAAACAATGTACTGTCAAATAATAAAATAGATATTAGTTTACATCATACAAGCAAATGGGTTCAATTTACTCTTAATCTGCACAGAACTGATCAGCCTTGATTTCTCACATGTCTACTTCATAGACAATGTACCTCTCACTTATTATATTTCCCAGTGAGTTTCTAAACTGCTACCTGGTAGTTTTATGACTCTTGAAGTCTAGACATGGGCCATACAACTGGGTGATAACACCAAACAGCCAGCTGGGGCAGCAGTGTCAAATACTTCTATCACCTGAGACAGGAAGGAGTTTTAACTGTCTCCAGACATTCAGTGTACTTTGTATTAACAACTGTCCTATATTCTGTCCTTGATTGGGGTGTCTGAAAGCACTGGGAAAAGAGAAGAGTTATTGCTGGTTCTCTTTCAGATTTAATAATACCTTAACATGAGAACTTCCCCTACAGTACATGGGTCTCACCTATTATTGGCCTATGTGAGACAAAAATCGAGGCAGAGGCTGGGAGTAGAAAACAGAGCTCTACCAACCCATCCATCCATGCTGGTTTATTCCAATATAATTATAAGTAACCATTCTCTGTTAAAAACAAAAATCTAGGACAAATGTTAAGTCAGATGGGGTTCTGGGATGGCAGACTTACATTGAGGCTGCACTTGGTGTCCAGGATGTGTGTTTACTTAATCTTTAATGCAGGAGATCTGCCCTTTTTTGCCCTTCCTTCTCCTTCCCTCCTTTTGACTGGAGTGAAGACATAATGGCAACTATCTTGGGCCACAAAGTGGTAAGATAGGAATGGCAGAGCAGTAAGATAAGGGGAGCCTGGGTTCCTGACTTTAGAATCACCATACCAACCTTGGACTACCTAGTCCCAGATAATAATAATATGTTAAAAAAAAGAGAGAGAGAGAGAGAGGGAGGGAGGGAGAAAAAAATAAATTATTATCTTGTTTTGGTCACTTTTATTTTATCATCACACCTTATTATCTTGTTTTGGTCACTTTTATTTTATCATCACACCAAATTCTAACTGATAAATAAGGACTACATCTACAGTCTTTCTAGAAAGCAGCTTAACAATATGCATCGAGAATACTAAAACTAAACCCTTTGAACCACTTCTAGGCACTTATCTTAAAGAAGTAATCTGAAATGAAGAAAAAATGATGTGTAAAGATGTTTAATGCAAATCTATTTATGAGAGTAGAAAATCAGAAGCAACCTAAATGTCCCAAAATAAAGAATCTGTTAAATAAGCAATACTACATCAAAATAACTGAATACTGTGCAATCATTAGGAAAGCTTATGAAAAATGTTAATGATATGGGAAAATGCTCATGTCATATATGCAATGGGGGAGAAAGGTAGGATTAAAAAAAGCTTACACATGTTAAGTTTTCACTTATGCTACCCCCAAATCCACACATACAAAGGTATGAATAAACAAATACAGACTGGAAGGAAATACATGAAAACAGTAACCTACAGTAATTATCTCTGGATAGTGAGATGATAGGTAATATTTATGATATCGTCATTATCCTGAGTATTTAACACTACCCTATAATTAACAAATAATTCCATCTGTTAACCAGAAAAAAAAAAACAACTGGAAATTAATTTCAAAACTCTTTCCTAGCATTTACCAGTTTTAGCTGGAGTTGATATTGCCATCATCATCATTAACCTCATCACAATTTTACTGAGCATCCATGTGTGTAGAGTTGGGGCAGCAGGGTGTCCAGACCTCTGTGGCTCCCGCAGTCAACCAAGAGCCACCTAAAGGCAGTTCAGATAAGAACAAACCCTGCCCAGTTTTACCTTGGTATTCTGTAGCAGAGCGAGTCCATTGCAGGCATTTGCTAGAAGAAAGTCTCCACTCAGGATAGCTATTTTATTTCCAAATTGCATATCTTTCAGTGGCCCGTCAGAAGACTGCAATTCATTTAAATTTACTATCCCACGATGTACAAGGAGAGCAGTATGGATAAGTTCTGTGATCTCTGCCAAACTTCTTTGACTAAAACACAAAGGTAAGATCTGTCTGAGTGTAAAGAATACCATCTTATCAGTATTGTCAGATTTTAGATTTCAACGACAAAATATTTCATAGATTAGTGTCTCTTTTTTCAGGTTATTCCTTTTTAATGAAGTTTTTTTCTATTGAGATATAATGGACACATGACATTATATTAGTTTCAGGTGTACAATATAATGATTCACTATTTGTACACACAGCTGACTCTTGAACAGCACAGAACCATATGGGTCCTTTTATGAGCATTTTTTCAATAAACACGGTAGTACACAATCTGAGGTTGGCTGAATCTACAGATGTGGAACCACGGATACAGAAGACAGACTGTGGGCCGTGAACATTCATGGATTTTGATATCTGAAGTGAGTCTGGGAACCAATCTCCTGTGGGCACCAAGGGAGGACTGTATTGTGAAAGGATTACCACAGTAAGCCTAATTAAATCTGTCACCATACATAGTCACAATTTTTTTCCCTGTGATGAGAGCTTTTAAGATCTACTCTTTTAGCAACTTTCAAACACACAACACAGTATTATTAACCACAGTCACCATTTACACACTATATCCCCAGTACATTATATCTTCATGTTTTTTTTTTTTTTTTCCTTCTTGGTAATATGTAACTAGAAGCTTGTAACTTTTGACCACCTCCACCCATTTTTTTCCTCCCTCCCTTGGCCCATCCCAACCTTCCCTGCCAACCTCTGGCAAACGCCAATCTGTTTTATGAGTTCAGTTTTTGGTTTTTGCTTTGTTCTTTATATTTCACAAATAAGTGAAGCCATATAGTATTTATCTTTGACTTATTTCACTTAGTATTTTGAAGTTTTGTGGAGTTTTCTTTTCTTTTTAAGGTTTCAAATGTACTTTATTTCTTCAATCACGCCATATTTTAATGGGTACACAGTGCTTTTACTTCTTTGGCATCAATTATGAGATTGTTTTGAGGCAATTCAGTATTATACCAGCTAGATGATTACTGATTTCGCTGGTACAATACTTCGAGTAGGGGACAGGGTCCAAAGTATTCTAATCTGTGCTGCTGCATATACCAACATAGCAACACAAAGTGACCCCACTAGTATTACCATATTTGCATTGGAAATCAGGTATACATTTCTGGTGTCTTTGTCTTAGCTGCTGCATCAAACTCAGGGAAACATCATGAAAATGAAGACAGAACTATGGCAACTGCAGCTGAGGGTTTGGTGTAACTCTGTATCAGTACCCTTGCAAAGAGACTTGAATGAAGTTTTTATTAGAGACTTTTCCACTAAGTTATCTGGGAGCTATAAGTGGATCCTGACACCTTCCTTCTCTCTACCATTCCCTATTCTCTATCCCATGAGTCACCAGGATTCCCCAGAGAGAAGATGACCAATAACAGCTACCCCCTACAGTTCCATTTAGATACTTTGTTCTCAGTATAAGTTCAGGATTTCTAAGAATCCTTACTGGTATCTTATAAAATTCCAATTTATGTGGAAACAGAATTTGTGCCAGTCATTAGTCCAAGCACTTTTACACATGATCACTTTTAATCCTAAATACAAGGCTGTGGGATTTACAGAGATGAACAGATGTGGTCCCTTCCTTCAAGGACCTTATCTTTCAGAATAAGAACCACGATATATACCTACAGTAGTAATTAAAATAAAGAAGACCCTTGAGGAACTTACAGTATAGGACTGTATCAGATGGCATTTCAGATGTTTGTTTTCTTGTTTATAATTTTCTATAGTTTGTACATTTTCTAAAATGACAAAAGAATTACTTTATAATCATTAGAAAATCAACAATTACTAAAAATTTTAAACCTCATAACCACCCTCTGAAGGTATTATTAATCTCTTATTTTACAAGTGAGAAAATTGTTACACATAGTGTAATGACTTGCCCAAAGGCACACAGTAATACAGAGCTAGGAATGCATTGAAATCTGTTGCACATGACCCCGTGTGAACCACATTTCTTCATTTCCAGGCCCCTGTGTAGTCCCCTCCACACTAACTTTGGGCTTCACCACGTGACTTACTTTGGCCAAAAAGATATTAGCACAAGTGACATAAGCAAGGCCTGGTAAGTGTTTATGCATTAAGGCTTGTCAATGCAGTCACATGAGTGATCCCAGAATGGTAAGAAATAAAATAGTTGTTTCAAGTCACTAAAATTTAGGATAGTTTGCTATATAGCAATAGGTATCTGATACAGAAACTGTACATCTAGGAGTGGGTGTTTTGGCAACAAAAGCCTAAACTATGTGTCAACAGCTTTGAGTCTGAATGTTTGGGGCTAGAGGTAAAGGCTGAATAAATGGCAAACTCTCAGTAGAATTTGGAAAGGTAGTGAGGAAACTGTTATTGGAGGATTGAGCAAGGACATACGGTATTATAAGGACATATGGTTGTAAAACTTTTGCCTGTGGTAACTTGAAAGATAGAAAATATACCTAAATAAAAGCTTAAAAAGTAGGTAGTGAAAGTAGAGAGATCAGAAGACGCTAAAGCAAAGGCCCAAGGGACATGTAACAAAAGGATTTGATCTAAAGGTCAAATTTAAGGATTTGACCTAGAATAACAGCCTTAGAAAAGGAGACAAATATATATAAAACAATCAAATAATAAGAGACTCTTCTCTAAAAACAATGTACTGCTAGTTTCACAACTATAAATTATATAAAGATGCAATAAAGGAACCAAACAATTTGGCTTCTGCAAAGAAAAAGCATGTTTCTAATTTGCTCCTTTTGCTTCAAAAAAGTAAAACAATATGTAAAAATGTTCCAGTGTACATAGCGTACCTGACTACAAATTGCGGAAGTAGGAAAAGAGGAACCAGTGAGTTAAACAGCTTCTGAAGAGAGTAAATTTGTGGTTTAGATGAAAACCTCACTACATCCCAAAGAAAATCACTGAGGATGGAGGACTAAGGGCTATTGAGAAGTTAACAGAAAACACTTTTTTTTAAGGGAGCTAACATTTAAAACTGTCCTTTAAAAGATTAACTAAAAGAAATGAATAAAAATGTACTTTATTGCTATCCTGCAAATGTATTCTAGTTTACAAAAACGTCCACTGCTACACGTCACAAAAATTTGCACAATGAGATTATGAGCAAGTATAAACCTCAAGAAGGGTTCCGCACTGGATAAATCTCTCATGTGGTTCAGCTTATGAAAGAAAGCAATAACCAGGCAAGTCAAAGTGGTAGGTGTTTTGAATTACCCTAAGGATGAAAATGAATGATTGGGAGCTTTTAATAAAGACATCCATAATCATAAAACTCCATTCATTAAACAAATGGCAATCTTTAAATGCCTCATGGCCAGAAACAACAAAAACAGTGGTAATAATGAAAGTGAAAACCATAATTTGTACAGTACCCACGATTCACAAAGAACTTTTACTTGTTTTATCTACTTGTGATTCTAATTACAACATGTGTGGGGAGTTTAAATACCTGGTTGGAACATTCAGTTTATGAAAGACAAAGATAGAACTCAGAGCCTCATTGTCAAGTGTCCAATGATGGTTTAAAATGTTTATTTACCTGATGAACAGTAAATGGGGGAGGGGGCAAAGTTACAATGCTACCAAGATTGATATATGCTCACCACAGACTTGTCCAATTTTCACCTTGAGTTCTGGGCACTACAGAAGAAAACTTTTCTAGGAGAAAGTATGACTAGACTTGACTCTCTGTTATAGTAGCTGGAGAAAGTAATCAAATTGTTTCAAAAATCATTTGGTTATACCAAATCAAGTGATTTAGCTCAATCAAAGGGGGATAACAATTCTCCCTCTGCTTATAACAGACAGTTTGTGGGCAAATCCCTTAAAACTCCCAGGTCGTTTGTCTTCTCGTCTCTGAAAGGAGGGGAACTGGACCAAGTCTCTTCTAGCTCTAAGATTCAGGGATTTCTGTCCTAAATTTAATATTCAGTCCTAAAATTCTAAGATTTGGGGATTACAAAAATTACTTAGACTGGTAGTTAATAGTTACACGAGTGCCTTGTTGCTCAGTCATGTCCAACTTTTTGGGACCCCATGGACTGGAAACCGCCAGGCTCCTCTGCCCATGGAGATTTCCAGGCAAGAATAATGATGGAGTGGCGTGCCATTTCCTACTCAAGGGGATCTTCCCAACCCAGGGATCAAACCCACATCTCTTGCATCTACTACATTGGTAGGCAGATTCTTTAGCACTAGCGCCACCTGGAAGCCCAGTTAACAGTGAAAAAAGACAAAATTATTGTGATGATTGGTACCTACTTTCTAAAGAAACAGAAATGAACTGATTGGTCATCTTGAAATCTGTCCTTCAATTCTGCTCTAGTACTGTGCTCACAATTTCTAAGATTTTATCATTAGAAAAACAACTTCGGGTCACATTATACAACTTTTAATTTAGTGTTACAGCAGTGACAGTATGAAAGAATCTGGGAATTTTTCCTTTTCATTATCTTATTCCTAGTTTAGCCACCGAAAGTAATCTAGTAAACTTTCAGTGTACTGGATTTTAAAAAGTATCTTGTATAAAAGTATTCATACAATTTTATGTACATATATTTTAGTACTCTGGTATTTTTTCACGCTAAATCTTGATTGGATAAGAGTTATAAGTAAATACTGTTTATGTTAAGTAATCAGAGTAAGGAAGTAATTACTACATTGAATGTAACCCTGAGGATTAACCAATATTTTTACAAGAACTTTCACAAAATTACTTTCTTTCAATTATATGTTAAACAACTTAATCTGCTTTGATTCATATTCTTCCAACATTTCTCCAAATTGTTTAGCATCCTAAGCTTTAGATATAAGATGACAGACATTGCTAGTTACCCATTCCCTCTCTCCCTCACTACTAACATACCTGTGGCTGTATTTAGAGAGACAAAGTACTCATTTAAAAAACTCACCTCCCCAAAATCCCTTGGGGCTAGAGGTGATCCTGTAGCACAGTCTGGCCAATGAATGTA